GAGACTCCTATCTCCAATAAACCACCAGAAAACCGGAAGTGGCGCTGTAGCTCAAGTGGTAGAGCGCTTGCCTTGAGCTGAAGAGTTGAGGGACAGCGCCCAGGCCCAGAGTTCAAGCCCCACGACCGACAAAAAAAAAAAAAAAATTAGGCTGGGCATTGACACTATAGGAGTGAACTTATGGTCCTAGCTACTCAGGAAGCTAAGATCTGAAAATTTCAGTTCAAAGTTATCTTGGGCAGGAAAGTCTATGAAACTCTGCTCTCCAGTTAACCACCAAAAATCAAGAAATACAGCTGTGGCTCAAGTTGGTAGAGTGTGAGCCTTGGGTGAAAAAAACTAAGGAACAGTGCCCATGCACTGAGTTAAGCCCCAGTACTGGAACCAAAAAAAAAAAAAAAAAAAAAGAGAAAGAAAAAGAAAAAGGGAGAAGAAAGAAGGAAAAAAAGAAAGAAAAGAGGCTGAGGGAAATGGTATGTGGCTATAATTCCAGCTACTCAGAAGTCAGATGTTGGGGAAGATAGCAGATCAAAGACAGGCCAAAAAAATAAAAAAGTTACTCAACAAACAAGCTGACATGTGCATGCCTATAATCCCAGATATAGAGGAGAAGATAGGCAAGAGGATTAAAGTCTGAGGCCAGCTGAGCAAACAGTTTCTATCTGAAAAATATAAAGCATGCTGGGGATATAACTTAAGTGGTAAAGCTTCCATGCCTAAATTCAAACTTCAGTACCACCCCCACCACACACACATGTGAAAATGCAACTCATAGATTGGAGAAAAACATTAACAATTATGTATCTTCTAGGACTTGAATTGGTCCCAACTTTCTTGTATGTGTGTCACATAGAGGGCCTAAGTGAGAGAATCTGCTGCTGCAATTGTTACTAGCTATTGACATTCTGCTTTCCTCACATCCCCATATTTAATGCTATTTTTCTAACACAGACCTTAAAGAGTGTTTTGCTTTCTGGCATATTTTTAATTATTGAAAAAACTGAATATGCCTAAAATACTCCATTTATATGTAATTTTTCAGACCTTTTAGGATTTAGTCCCTGTAATGGTTTCCCTCCCTTCCTTCCTTCCTTCCTTTCTTTCTTTCCTCTCTTTTTCTTTCTTTCCTTCCTTCCTTTCTTTTTTCCTTAACCTCCTGCAATCTTTCAGCTTTATCTCTCTATTCCTGTGCCCTCTGTATTCTGGTCTTTAAGTCTACTTCTATGAATAGGAAAATAAAAAAGTCTTTGCTACCAGGCACCAGTGGCTCATGCCTGTAATCCTATCTACTGAGGTGGCTGAGATCGGAGACTTTCTGTTTGAAGCTAGCCAGCACAGATAAGTCAGTGAGATTCTTAGCTCCAATTAACCATGAAGAAGGCAGAAGTGGCGCTGTGGCTCAAGTGGTAGAGTGCTAGCCTGGAACAAAAGTTCAGGGACAGTACCAAAGCCCTGAGTTCAAGTCCCAGGACTGGCACAAAAACAAAAGAAAAAGAAAAAGTATTTGCCTAGTCTATGCCTTTTCTGAGTGGTCCCTTGGCTTAGAATGACCTTTTCCTCTACCTTCCACTAAACTAATCCTCCTCCTCAGTCCAAGATTGAAACTTGAAACCCCTGGTTACTTCAGTGTTGCTTTTTATGGCCGGCAGTTTTCTGCAGTCTCCAACTGTTTATACTTTTATTCATATTGTTAGGTTTTTTAAAAGAGATAGCCAAGTAAGAACATCACCACGCAGGTGGTATTCAGGTAAGGAGTAGGTTTATTCATTGTTCCGGCTGGCACCAGGCCATCTTGGTCCTCCACGTGGTGGGGAAAGGCCTGGGAAAGAGGAGTTGGGAGATCTGGGAAAGAGAAAGAGCTGGGAAAGAGAGAGAAAAAAGCTAGAAAAGAGAGAAAAGAGCTAGAAAAGAGAGCGTCTGGGAAAGAGGTGGCAAAGAGCAAGCTAGGAAAGAGAAGAGAGCTGGGAAAGAGAAAAGAAGGAAAGAGTTGAGAAAATGCTAGAAAAGAGCAGAGAGAGAGAGTCTGGGCCTGGGCTAGGCCTTATCTAGGGTATGGGCAGAGAAAGGTGTGGCCACATCAAATTCAGATGTGACCTCTTCCAGGTGTCCCAGTTGCCTAGGTAACGCAGGTACTGGGTGGAGATTTTGCTGCGAGGAGGGTGGAGTCTGCTAGCCATACAAGAGGGGACCTTACACACATTAGCACTTTTTTTGTTCTGTCATCATTTTTATTTGCTAGTATTTTGTTTTCTTTCTTTTCATTGACAATTCATAAAAGTCTAAGCCAGTTATTTTGAAGAATGTCCCACATTCTGAATTTATTTGCCTATTTCCTAGTTACATTTATTTACTTATTTATTTATTTATTTATTTTGTTGGTCGTGGGCCTGAACTCTGGGTCTGGGCACTGTCCCTCAGTTCTTCAGCTCAAGGTTAGCACTCTACCACTTGAGCCAAGCACTAGTTCTGGCTTTTTCTGTTTATGTGGTGCTGAGGAATCGAACCCAAGGCCTTATCTATGCAAGGCAAGCATTCTACCACTGAGCCACCTTACCAGCCCGACATTTACTTTAATTACTTAAGTTATCTCTACCACAGTTTTCTAATTCATAATCCTACAGTAGTACTGCTAGTAGCACCTTTCTGGCCCTATATTTCTTTTCTTTTTTTTTTGGCCCTATATTTCTTTTCTTTTCTTTTTTTTTTTTTTTGCCGGCCATGAGGCCTGAACTCTGGGCCTGGGCGCTGCCCCTCAGCTCTTCAGCTCAAGGCTAGCGCTCTACCACTGGAGCCACAGAGCCACTTCCGGCTTTTTCTGTTTATGTGGTGCTGAGGAATCGAAACCAGGGCCTCATGCTTGCAAGGCATGCACTCTATCGCAGAGCCACCTTCCCAGCCCTGTACTATATTTCTTTAAAATGTGTTATATATAGTTGGAAAAGATCAGGATGGAAATATTGGCTCTTACCTTGTTTGGGTAAGAGCTTGCTCTTCATTCTTATCACACATTTTCTAATCTAATTATTATTATTATTATTATTATTATTTTGGGTCCAGTCGTGGGGCCTGAACTCTGGGCCTGGGCGCTGTCCCTCAGCTCTTCAGCTCAAGGCTAGCGCTCTACCACTTGAGCCACAGCGCCACTTCCGGCTTTTTTCTTTTTGCTTATGTGGTGCTGAGGAATCAAACCCAGAGCCTCAGGCATTCAAGGCAAGCGCTCTACCACCGAGCCACCTTCCCAACCCCTAATCTAATTATTTTTATATTGTCTTTACCCTTTTGGAGGGAAGATTTAATATAGGGTATAGTTGGAGGGAAGATAAATACAGGGTAGAGTAAAAGGGCAGTTAAATTCTTAAGGACTTAAGTGTATGTTTTTTTAAAAATTTAACTGCGTTGTTAATAAAGAACTTTTTGGTCCTGTTTAGTAATTAGAATTTTTATATAAAATGTCTTTTTTTCTGTATCTGTAAGTAGAATAAAACAAAACTTTCTTTAGTACTTCCATAATGACTTCTGAGCCATGTGAGGTGGTATACATCTGTAATCCCAGCACTTGGGAAACTGAGGCAAGAGAATCACTAATTCTAGGCCAGCTTGGGCTTATGCAGTGAAACTGTACTTCAAAAACCCAAAAGCTAGCCTGGCACTGGTGGCTCATGCCTGTAATCCTAGCTACTCAGGAGGCTGAGATCTGAGGATCGAGGTTCAAAGCTAGCCCGGGCAGGAAAGTCCATGAAGCTCTTATCTCCAATAAACCACTAGAAAAATGGAAGTGGTGCTGTGGCTCAAGTGGTAGAGCACTCACCTTGAGCTGAAGAACGCAGGGACAGTGCCCAAGCCCAGAGTTCAAGCCCCAGGACAGACTAAAACAAAAAACAACCCCTCCCCCCCAACCAAACAAACATAATGACTTCTGAACGTGAATTCCTGTGGCTTAGGGGTTTGGGGCATCAATAGTTTAGAATGAAACAATTGTTTATGAAACATTATATACTATTAGTTTGTTTCTCATATAGGTAGAATACAGAAAAATGCTATTTATTAAGTAGTAAATGTTTATTAAACTTACTTTATTATGCATGACTGATTTGATTTTAGGAATATTTACTAAATATCAGCACAATGTTTGCTATGTATTGCTAGCCTTTACTTGGTTTGGTAAGGGAGACATAAAGGGTAAGCACCATTTCATTGGTAAATGTTTTTTGAACACCTAATGTATACTAGACAAAATACTGAAGCATAAGATAAGATAGATGATTTTTTTAATCCTAATAAATATGTCCAGGGTGGTGTGTACCACAACAAGGAAACAAATGAATAGGATTGAGGGCCTAGGCATAGGAATCCAAATTAAATAGAACTAATGCTTTTGAATGACAGCAAAGCAGAAAATGTGGATCAAGGATATTCCAAGCTGAAGAGTACTGGTTAAGTCACAGTAGCAAAAAATGTCATCTAGTTAGGTACTTGCAAAGAAGTGAAGCTAGAGCATTGTTTCTGAAAGTGTGATCCTTTCTGCGGTTGTCAGCATCATCTGGGAGCAATTCTTAAACCTCTAGATCATTCTTATCTTAACCTTCTAAGTGATCCTGGACTAAAAGATCAGAACACTGGACTAAATTTAAGGAATGTGAAAAAAGAATAGCAATTATAATGTAGCCTCTCACATTAAAGGTATTAAAGTTCTGTGATTAGGTTAGGCTATGTATAGATAAAACCATTTTCTTTTTTTGTTTTGTTTTTACCAGTCCTGGGGCTTGAACTCTGGGCACTGTCTCTGAGTTTCTTTTGCTTAAGGCCAGTACTCTACCACTTGAGCCACAGCCCCACTTCCTAAATCATTTTCTTTTTAAATCTCTATATTGAGTGATTTCTTATGGGAAAAGGAATAGATAATACTATAATATTGTTTCGTTTTTAATCACCAGATATTCAAACAACAATTTATCAGTCTGTTAACCTTTTACTTACTGATTGCTTTGTTTTTCTTTTAGTCCAAGGACAAAATGATGAGAGGCTCTCGCAGAGGATGTGTTAGACTCAGAGTAAGTATTCATTTTTATGAAAATAAATTTTGACCCAAAAATGTGCTTTGATAAAGTTGTGGAAGTCTAAATTTTGCTTAGCTTTCTTAATTTTAAATGTTAGGGCACATAATATTTCAGAGAGGAAAGTATGAAAACCAGGACTTAATGTTGTATCCAAGACTTACTAATATTTTCAAACCTCATCTTTACAGATAATGGACAAATTACTTGTAGTATTGGTGATACAGCAATGGAAGAAAAGGACTCAGAAAAACTTTCCCCTATTGCTTTGCCTTTTGTGTTCAATATTAAAAATACAGCAGCACTATGAAGTAGGAATATAATTCTAGCCATATGTAAAATTTAAAATTTTGTGGTAGCCACATTTATTTCAGCATATAATCAATACAATTTTTTTTTCTTGGTGGTTTTAGGGTTTGAACTTAGGGGCTTGGGCTTCCTTACTTGGCTTGCTTGGTGAACCACACCTCCAGCCCTATTGGCTGGTGATTTTAGAGATGGAGTCTCATGGACTTTTCTGCTTGGACTGGCTTCAAACCATGATCCTACTAGTCCAAGTCTTCTGAGTAGCTAGGATTTTAGGTATGAGCCACCATGATCCAGCTAATACACAGTTATTAATATGATATTTTACATTATATTTTGGTACTAAGGATTTGAAATCCAGTGGGTCTTTTTTACAGTACTGAGACTCTAACCCAGGGCCTTGCACATTGTAGCCAGCCACTCTACCCACTGAGCCCTTCTGGTATGTTTTTGCACTATGGACACATCTTAATTCAGTGTTAGATACACGTCAGGGGAGGTGCTTAGTAGCCCCTTAACTCTATTTCTGCCTTTTTGCATCCTTAATTAGTTTATTTGTTTCTGGTGCTAGGAATTGAACCTAGGCACAACCTAAGTTGTAGATGTGAATGTTTGGTAGACATTGTTGCCTTTATTATCAATTCTTGAAAAAATTGTTAAATGATTCCATGAAGTTACATTATAATGGCAAAATTCTGGCACTGATGTAAGAGAGTGATAGAATTATAGAATGGAAATGAGATAGGCTATATATGTATATATATATATATATACATATACACATATGCATACATGTATACACACACATATATATATATATATATATACATGTCTGATGTGTATGTGATAGCATAAAAATTTTTTTAAATTGAGCTAAACTTTTCCTTTGGTTCCTCTTGTCTGATTGGCCTAATTGCTTTTCTAAGTACTTGCTATCAATCTTAGTCACCTCTGAGATTGGTATTAACGGCCTTTTTGGCTTGAGGAAGGCATAGTAATGATACTTTGGCTGGTGTGTGTTGAGACAACACTTCAGCCAAATTTATCTTGATTTAAGCCATGGTCTTATTGCTAATGCATAACTCAGGGCCTTATACTTGATACGTTGTGCTACTCAAGCCATGGCCCCAACCCTTTTTTGTTTTAGTTAGGCTTTAAAAAAAATTTAAAAAACAGCATCCATTAGTTGTTTTTATTGTGTTATTTCCATACATACATACATAATACATACATTGTACCCTGACTAAAGTCATCCTTTGTCACTTTACCTTCTGCCCCTCTCCCTCTTCTTAAAACAATTTCAGCTGGTTTTATTGTTCTGTTTTCATACAGGCATATAAAATGCTTTGACCCTCATTTGTTGGCCCTCATTTATGCCTCACCCTTCTCCCTCTTGCTGATACCTGCCCTGAACAGCTTATTTTACTGTCCTATCATCATTTTGTCTAGAGTATATTAATTATACCAAGAAGGTTTATTGTGGTATTTCACATATGCATATATTATATTTTAGTCAGAGTAACTCCCTCGTTGCTCTTTCTTTCCTCATCTTCCAATCCCTATTGTTTGTTATTAGTGATATTTCTTATGTCATCTTCATTCATAGATGCAATGTATTTTGATATTATTCATCATCATTATCTTTCCCTCTTCCCTTCCCTTTTGTGTCCCCAGTGCCATAAAAATGCATATAATATATACCTTTAAAATCTATATTCTGCAAATGACTGTACACATTTAGCTTTTTGAGGTTGGCTTATCTTGGTCAACATGATGATCTCTAGTTCCATTCATATTTCTGAAAATCACATAATTTCAATTTTTTCATGGCTAAATAATACTCTACTATACCCCCCCCACACACACACATACATACCCACACACACATACACCTATCTTTTCTTTATCAGTTCATCAGTTGTTGGCCACCTTAGCAAATTCCATAGTTTGGCTATTGTGAACTGTGCTGCAATGAACATGAGTATGCAGATATTGTGCGCGCTCTCTCTCTCTCTTCTCTCGTTTGTCAGGGGCTTAAACTTGGGGCCCTGGGTGCTGTCTCTGAGTTTTTTTTGTTCAAGCCTAGTGCTCTAGCAGTTTGACACTTTGAGCCAAGGTGTCACTTCTGGGACAAGAGTCTCACAGACTTTTCTGCCCAGGCTGGCTTTAAAACTGTGATCCTTAGATTTCAGTGTCCTGAGTAGCTAGGATTCCAGGCATGAGCTACCAGCATCCAGCAGGGAAACTCTTTTAATGTTTATTGCCCATTATGACTCTAATTAAGTGGTTTATATATATATTTTTTTTTTAAATTTTTATTTTTTTATTGTGAAAATACTGTACAGAGGGATTACAATTACATGGGCAAGATAATGAGTACATTTCTTATCAAGCATTGTAGCCTCCTGCTTTGTTTCCCCTTCCCATCCCTTCCCATCCTCCCCCTGCCCCCCCACCAATCCTCCCTCCCCTATGACCCAGCAATCCCACTTTTGGGCATTTACCCAAATGGTTACAAACAAGACCACACTAACGCTACAAGCACAACTATTTTTATTGCAGCATTATTTACTATAGCTAAGATATGGAACCAACCCAGATGTCCCTCAGTAGATGAATGGATCAAGAAAATGTGGTATATATACACAATGGTTTATATATTCTTGGCTCAACTTTGACAGCTCATATGCATCTAGAAATTTTCCATTTCATCTAAAGTATTTCCATGTTATCTTTTGAATTTTATATTTGAAATGTTTTCTTTCTTCATCTCCAAGTTTGTTGTTTTGAGTTTTTTCTCTCCTTTTTTGTCATATTAGCTAGAGGTTTATTTATCTTGTTAATTTTTTGAAAGAGGAAATTTTTGTTTTATTGTTTCTTTGTATAGATTTCATCTATCATTTCATTAATTTCTGCTCTAATTTTTACTATTTCTCTCTACCAGCTTTGGGGTTGGTTTTCTGCTGTTTATTCATAAGTTTCAATTGCATCATAAAAATTTTTTAAGTGCTTTCTTTTTTCTTTTTTTTAATGTTGGCCTTCATAGCTATGTACTTTCAACTTTTTTCTATTTTTGCTGTGTCTCAGAGATTCTGTTAGGATGTGCTTTCATTTTAATTGGTTTCCAGGCACTTTTATTATTTCTTCCTCCTCTTCCTTCACTCCTCCTCCTCCTCTTTCTTCTTCTTCTTTCTTCTTTTTTGGCCAGTCCTGTGGCGTAAACACTGTCCCTCAAGACTAGCACTCTACGACTTGAGCCACAGCACCACTTCCAGCCTTTTCTGCTTAAGTTATACTAAGGAATCAAACCCAGGGTTTCATGCATGCTAGGCAAGCACTCTACCACTGAGCCACATTCCCAGCTCTATTTCTTCTTTTATTTCTGTTGTTCAACATGTGCTATTCAGTCTCCATGTACTTGAATATTTTCTGTAGTATCTTTTGTTGTTGAGTTTTAGTTTATTTACAGATAGAATACAGGAGGTTATTTTAATTTTTTCTCATACTTGTATATTGTATATGTCTTTGGATGTGATTGAGTTTGGAGAAAATTCAGCTGGCTGCTGAGAAGAATGTGGAGTTCCTGAGGAAATACTTGGTAGTATTTGGGCTATAATGTCATTTAATTCTATGTTTTTAAAAATATTTTGTTTGAATGATGTATCTATTGGTAATAATGGCCCTACCACTTGAGCCACAGCTCCACTTCTGGCTTTTTAGTGATTAATTGAAGGGTCTTGTGAACTTTCCTGCCTGGGCTGGCTTTGAACCACAATCCTCAGATCGCTGCCTCCTGAGTAGCTAGGATTATAGGCATGAGCCACTGCATCCAGCCCTCCTAATGTTTATTTTATTCATTTGTTTATTTATTTTTTCCAGTCCTGGGGCTTGAATTCAGGGCCTAAGCACCATCTCTGAGCTTGTTTTTTCTCAAGGCTAGCATTCTACCACTTAAGCCCCAGAGCTACTTCCAGCTTTTTCTGTTTATGTGGTGCTGAGGAATTGAACCCAGGTCATTGTACGTGCTAGGCAAGCACTCTACCACTAGGACCCTAATGTTTGATTTCACATGAGATAATTTTGTAAGTAGAACCTTCTTTCACCTATTATTGGTTACCCAGTAGTATAGTTCAAATAGGCAGGAAAATGGCCTGGTTATTTCCTTTTACTTAACTAATATTTAAAATAATGAATTGGAAAGTATTTATCTATATATATCCAAAAGTACTAGAAGCAGGTACTCTAGCAAATATTTGTGTGCCCATATTCATAGCAGCATTAGTTACAATAATCAAAGATGGAAGCAATTACTTTGCGGTATATGTAAAACCAGAAATTTACACGGTAGCCTTTTCTCCCATAATTCCCTAAGCTTCTACTGTTAGATTGCTTTCTTATTTTCCACTCATATAATATGGGTTCTAATTTTTAATAAATGAGATATTGATTTGTTTTGCAAAATGCTCTAGCAGGTAAACTTTAATGGATTGGGCCTAATGACCTGAGTTATTAAACAAACATCAGACCCCCCGACAATTATACTCTGAATATTTTTCTTCTAATTTCAAGAGACAATAAAAAGCATTCCCACAAAAAAAAGATGGAAGCAATTGAAATGTTTATTCACAGATAATCAAATTGTGATATATATGCATATATGTGTATGTGTGTGTATATATATATATATATAT